CAACACCCCAGGAAGGCAGGGCTGGGAAAACCTGCGGGAATTTCTAGGAGGCACCTGAAGGGTGGGGTCAGAGGCCGTCCCGAGTCCCCTGGAGGCGCGAATTTCCAAAGGGATACCCCGCAGAAGGGTGGGCCGGGCCGGGCCGGGCCTGGGGCTGTTGCGTGGTCTGGGGGCCGGTGGAATGAAGGGGGTGGGGAACCTACTTTGGGACGTCCCACCCGGAAGGCGGAGCCGAGGGGCCATTACCAGACCCCGGGGGCGGAATCTGAAACAGGAACCGCTGGGCGTGGCGGGCCCCCGGGGCTGTTCCGAGCCCGGGAATGACTGGGTTGGTGACTGTGCCGAGATCCCCGGGGGGTGGCGGGGCGTGGGGTTTGTTCTATTCTAAAGGTCGCTGGGCCCAGGTCGCCCCTAGTGAGCGGGTGCAGGGCGGTCATCCCGGCAGCCGGCGGGGTCGGGAAGTGTTCTAAACCCCTGGAGCGGGAGGGGGGGGGGAATCTGGGATGAGACCTCCCCTCCCCAGAGGGACCCCCCTGAGGAGTAGAGCGGGGCGGGAGGGGATCTGCATGAGGCACCCCCGCTCGGTCTGTGTCCGGAGCCCCTCCGGGAGGAGGCGGGGTTGGAGGCGCCAGGGTGCTTCTGAGACCCGGGTCTGAGCGAAGAAGCCCGGAGAGCTTTTCAGGCGTCTCTGGAAATATTTGAAACCTGGGGGACGGGGGTAATTAATGGTTCCAAAACTGTAAACTGTGAATATAAACGTGAAATTAAGTCTCACTCTGTGTCAGCGTCGTTGCTTGCGAAACTTAGTGTCTGATAAATTTGCACTGGATGTCAGGGTTCAAATCCCAGCCCCGCATTCTCTCGCAGTGTGATTCCTGGCAGGTGACCTAACTTCTCTGTGTCTTAGTTTCTCCTTCCAAGAAATGAGATCATCCCTGCTCTGGTGGTGTGGTGCCTAAGGCATTTATTTGACTGCTAACCAGAAGGTTGGCGGTTCAAACCCACCAGCCATTCCACGGAAGAAAGACTGGGCAATCTACTTCCATAGTGATACCGCCTTGGAAACCCCATGGGGGTCACTATGAGTTGGAATCGACTCAATGGCAGTGAATTTTTTTTTTTTTTTTTTTTTTTGAGTTCTGAGCCATCTTTTCCAGTTGTTTACATGATTTCGACGAGGTAAGGAGCGCGGTGGGTCCCGCGTGTTCAGAACAGTACTCAGCATACAACACCCAGCACGGTAAGGTGTCCGCTGTTACCCTGACAAAAAGTCCTTTTCCTTGAGAATAACTGGCCATTTCTTAGTGGCACCAGTAGGGTTGGTGCCACCACCCCCCCCCCAGGACCTACTCTCCAACCAGATCATACAGAATGTTTGTTGTTATGTGGACAGACTCAGCGACCCCTCCTTGGGTTTCAGAGGCGGTGTCACTACGGAAGTAGATTGCCCAACCTTCCTTCCGAGGTGGGTTCCAACCACCAGCCTTCTGGTTAGCAGTCAAGTGCCTTAGGCATTATGCTACCAATGCTTAACGTTTATTATCAGTTTCATCATAGAATAGTTGGTGACATAGTTGTAAATTGCTTAAATGTAACACTTATTAGATTATGTGAATATTAACAAAATTGTTTTGTAAAATGTTCAACATTTAGTTACATTATCAGTTAAACACTACTAGTAACTGAGCAGAAGTCTTTATTATTATTATATTTTGCTCCTTTTCCTTGTATTATTACTTCATTCTCAAAAAAGTTGTTTGTATAGATTCACTGATACTACTTACTACAATCTTGTAACTGAAACATCACAAAATTTGATCAACTTGACTCAAAACACCAGCTGCAACAAAAACAACAATCTAAGCGTCAGGGTGGTGGTGTTGTGTGTCATCGAGTCAGCCTCAACTCATAGTGACCCCGCTTTGGGTTGCCAAGGCAGTATCACTAAGGATAGCAGATTGCCCAACCTTCCTTCGAAGGAGTGGCAGGTGGGTTTGAACTGCCAGCCTTCTGGTTAGCAGTCAGGTGCCTTAGGCACTATGCTACCAGAGCTCCCAAGCCTCACGATAATTGGGTAATAATGAGAGCTCTGAGCGGAACGCACCAGAAGGTTCAAAAGCAAATCAACATAGAGTTTTCATCTATTCAGCATAGGTATATTGATGCCTGGAAGCTGGGCTCACAAAAAATGGGATATTTTTATATAAAGTAATAAATTTCTTCTGAAACACTGCACAAAAATTTGACAGTCATTTTGGTGTCATTTCCTCTAATCATGTCATCGAATATGATCCTCACCCCCTCTCCACATCCCTAGTGATGCCACTGCCAGTTTTAATTTTCCTCACTTCCCAAGAATTTCCAGGTATGTTCCTGGAGTGTGGGAAATGCTCGCCAATCACATTAAATGAGCTGTTCACCTATCTCATGTGCAAAATCACAAAAATCTTTTCCAAAATGATTTTGACAACACATTTCTATTTAATACAGATTAGACTTTTATATTTGGTCCTGTTGTGTGTTGGGGCACCTGAATGCCAGCCAGGGCTCAAGAGCCCTCCCAGGTTCGGGAGTCAATCTGGTCTCTTAGGTCCTTGTTTCAAGTGTCCTCGTCAATCTGTCCAGGTGGGTCCTGGATATCCCTGGGGAAGGCAGCAAAATATAGAAATTAAAAGCTCTAGTCTAGAGCCTCTTCCTGGCTGTGTGACCACTGCCACTCTCAGACAGTGGCACTCTCTTAGCCTCTCTCTCTCACCTGGAAATGGGAAGAAGGCCAGGTATTTTCTTGCAAATTAAGCCGAGAAGCTGGGGCGCACGAACCCGCTTCGCTTTGCCTCTGCTGCCACCTGGAGGGAGAACAGAGTATCAACTCTTCGGAGGCGGGGCCAAGCATGCAAATAATACGTAAACCACGCCTCCCGCGCCCAGGCTAGGAGTGGGCCTGGAGAGGAGCGAGCCAAAGCCCAAGAAGCTGAAAAGGGGCCTTTGAGTCTGCACCAGCACCTCAGTTCCCGCTCACCAGCCCAACGCAAGACGAGAAAATTGAGGGACGGAGATGATGCTGCCTACCCCAGGTTCCAATCCCCATCGCCCTCTGGGAACCTCAGTAGACTTATCTATGAAATGGGCCCAGTAGACCCTGTGTGATAATGGTCAGTCCAGTCTTTGTGCCTAATACCAGGTCACTGGCAGCTTTCCAAAGAAGACATTTAGAAACGTCAGAACCGCAGGGCACACCGCCTGTCGTCAACGTCGTTATTGTCACTCTGGCCTTCAGTGCCCAATCTTCCTCACCTGGGGCAGTGAGACCAGAGAAGCCCACTTCCTGCACCTCCTGAATGAATATTATTCAGCATAAATTCAATCATGAAAAGAAATGGAGTACCTATGCACGCTATCACATAGATGAACTGTGAACACACGTTCAGTGAAGAGGCTGACACAAGACAAATATTTTGGGATCCCATTTACATGAAATGTCCAGATTAGGCAAACCATGGAGACAGAAAGTAGATTAATGATCCCCTCTGGCATGTTATTGTTGTTAGGCGCTGTCAAGTCAGCTTCAACTCATAGCGACCCTCTACACGACAGAACGAAATGCTGCCCCCTTCTGTGCCAGCCTCAAGATCCTTGCTGTACCTGAGCCCATCATTGCAGCCACTGTGTCAATCCATCTTGTTGAGGGCCTTCCCCTTTTTTGCTGACCCTCACTTTACCAAAGGAGCTCTGATCGCATAGCTCCTAAGGCATTTGACTGCTAACCAAAAGGTTGGTGGTTCAACCCACCAGCCACTCCAGTGAAGGAAGACTGGGCAATCTACTTCTGTAAAGGTTTACTGCCTGGGAAACCCAGTGGGGGTCACTATGAGTCAGAATCCACTCCATGGCAGTGAGTTTGGTTGTTTTTGTTGTTGCCCCTCTACTTTACCAAGCATGATATCCTTCCCCAAGGAATAGTCCCTTCTGACAACATGACCAAAGTAGCGAGAGATGCAGTCTGGCCATTCTCGCTTCCAAGGAGCACTCCGGCTGCACTTCTTCCAGGACAGATTTGTTCGTTCTTCTGGCAGGCCGTGGGACTTTCAGTATTCTTCCCCAACACCACTAACTCAAAAGTTTCAGCTGTTCTTAGGTCTTCCTCGGCATAGTGACTGCTTATGGATTACTTTGGGAGATGAGAATGTTCTGGAACTAGGTATTAGTGATGGTTGCACAGTATTGTGAGTGTGTTCACTTAAAAATGGTAAAACATGTATGAACTTTGTCTCAACTGAAAGAAAGAAGCTGGGCGGGGGAAAGGAAGGAGGGAGGGGACTTGGCTGGGAGGAGGGAAAGGAAGGCAGACAGAAAGGAAAGCCGGGAAGGGCTTGGGAGCTGGGGAGGGGCCGGTGAGGCCCCCACGGAGGAGACGTCATTGACACCCAAGCTTGACGGAAGGGCGCGCAGACGGGAAATCATCCACTTGCGATGTCCCTAGGCTGAAACCAAATAACAAAACGAATTATTTAAAACTTCATTCAAATTATTAAGAAAAAAAAAAAAAAGCCCAGCAGCAACAGCAGTAAAGTCTGCGCTTTGGGCGGTGTTGGGCGCACCTGCGGCGCTAACGGAGCTGCGGGGCGGGGCTTCGACCCTCTGTCGCAAAAGGCCCGGAGGCCGGAAGGGGGCGCCCGTCGCGGGCTTGGGGCCCGGAGGGAGAAGAGACTTTGTCACAAGTTTTCTCCCAGCTTCCGCGTCTCAGTCGCGCCCCGGAGCTCGGTCCCGCGCCCCCTGCCGCCCTTACTGAGCCCCGAACCTCCGGACGTCTTCCTTGCTCAGAATAAGAGAACCCTTGACCGCCTCCTCACCTCCGCACACACCCCTGTCCCCGCCCCCCTCGGAACCCCCTTGGGGAACCTCGGATCCCTCCTAACTCTCCTGCCCCCCTTTTGCGTCCTCGACTGCCCCGCAAACCCTTGGACTCTTCCGACCCCCTGGGGTCCCCGATTCTGGTCCCCATGGCCCGGTCGTACGGCGGCCGGGTGCTGGCCGCAATGACCCTGTTGGGCATCCCGGCGGCCGTGCTGGCGGCGCTGGGCGCGCAGCTGCTGTTCCAGCTGCAGGCGGGCCGCGCAGAGCTGCGGAGACCTCGCGCCGAGGGCCTGGCTCCGGGGCTGGACGCGGGACCCGGGCTGCCCGAGGACGCGGCCGGGGCGCTGCTGCCGCTGGCCGCCGCGCTCGCCGCCCTTTCCCTGGTGCTGGCCCTCACCTGCCTGTTGCTCGCCGCGCTCTGCGGCCACCTGGGCGCCGAGATGGCGCGGGGGCCCGGCCCCAGCAGGTAGGAGTGTGGGGCCCACTCTCGAAGGGGGCAGGCTGGATGGCTAAGAGAGCTGCTGCCCCTCGGGGGCCTCTGATGGGAAAAGAATTATTCTCCCTCCGTCTTTCTCTCCTGCCCTCCACTTATTCGCCATTCTACCATTCCTCCCAGTCTGCTTTTTCCCTCCTTCCTTCTCTCTCCCTCTTTCTACCCATCCATCCACCCATCCATCCACCCACCTCCCCTCATCAAGTCATGAGTCCATCCATCCCGCCAGCCAGCCAGCAAGCCACCCTTCATTCCCTCCCTCCCTCCCCACCCACCCACCCACTCGTGAATCCATCCATCCACCCACGCATCAATCCATCCATCTATCCATCCATCCATCCACTCATAAACGCATCCGTCTGCTCACCCACCCGTCTATCCACCCATCTCTTTTTTCCCTCCCTCTCTCCATTCACCCATCCATCCTTCCTTCTTTCTCTCCTTTCCTCCCTCCCTCCATCTCTTCCTCCCTTCATCCACCCCCTTCATTCATCCATCTCTTCCCCCCTTCTTCCATCTATCCCGCCACCCCTTTATACTCTATTTGTTAAACCTTTTCAGCAGGTTCCTCTCCTGCTGTGACCTCAAGAATCTGGGGTCAGGCAGCATTGTGATCTGCGAAATGAGAGCAGTTAGGTGCTGAGCGAGTGTCTGGCACAGAATTGCTGCTTTGTGAGTGCTGGATGTTTGGATGGATGTAGATGCATGGGAAAGGATGGATGGAAGATGTACAGGTGGATGGGTGGGTAAAGGATGATGGCTGGCTGGCTGGCTGGGTGTTGAATAGGGGCTGGATGAGTGGGTGCTGGCTGGGAGAAGGATGAAGGATGAATATTTTCTTAGTCTCCCGGCGCTGCTGTAACACAAATACCACAAGTGGGTGGTGGCTTTTATTTTCTCACAGTTCTGGAGGCTAAAAGTTCAAATGACTTCTTCCTTGTTGGTAGCCCCAGATGTTCCTCGGTTCCTTGGCTTGTAGACAGTCCGCACGGGTGTGTGTCTGTGTCTAAATTGCTCTTTTGTAACTCAGAAGTGATTAGATTTAGATCCCACCCTACTCAGATTACAGAACAAAGATGACACTATTTCTAAACAAGATTTCACACACAGGTGCAGGATTTAGGAATCCAACACATATTTTGGGGAGGGCCAAACCAAAACAAACAAACAAACAAACAAACAAAAAGGGAAGCTCTGGTGATGTAGTGCCTAAGGCATTTGACTGCTAACCAGAAGGCTGACGGTTCAAACCCACCAGCCACTCCTGGGAAGGAAGACTGGGCAATCTACTTCCATTGGGGAAGGCAGACATAATTTAATCCATAACAGATGGTGACTGTTTCAATGAAAAGGTGGATGGATTACTGGGATAAGGTTAAATGAATGAATGCATGATGAACAATGGTTGAATATCTGATGGAGATGGAGGAATGGACAGTGAATGTATGGTGGCTAAATGAGTGAATAGACATCTGCTGGCTGGCTATGTGGTGGAATTATTGGAAATATATCTTTTGGTAGTTGGATGGATGGCTGGGTGGGTGGGTGGGTGGATGGATGGATGGGTGCATGGGTAGATGGGCAGCTAGACAGATGGGCAGAAAGATGGATGGATGGATACTAAGTGGATGGATATGAGATGGGTGGGTGGTGGGTGGATGAATGGTGAATGGGTGAGATGATGTATCAGTGGTGACTGAACGGTGGATAGTTAAATGATTGAGTGGATGGATGCATGGATGGAAGCTGGATAGCCGGGTGGATGGTGGATAAATGATGGATTCAAATGGGTGAGTGGGTGGCATTTGGGTCCTCACAGGGATCTCAGATCCCTGCAAGCTGACTCCTCCTCTCATTCAGGCCACTCCTCCATCCTTCCCTCGCTGGTCCCCCACCAACCCCACCTCCTGAAGCCTTCTCTTCCTTTTCCATGTCCCCACCCCATCCAGGTCTGACTGGTTTCTCTATGACTGCCGCCTCCTCAGACACGTGGCCCTTGGCCTCTTCTGCTGTGGGATCGCTGTCTACTTAGCAGGTGTGTGCTGGGGGTGGTGAAGAGAACTCGGGGTGCAGGACCTTGGATTGGGATGGCCAGAGTCAACTCTATAGAGTCAGCGTGCTTGGGTTCAGATCTTGGCTCTGACACTGTCTTGTGCTGGGACCTTGGGCCAGCTCTGTCTGTGCCTGTTTGACCATCAGTACAACGGTGTTGGTAACTATTGTGCCTCGCAGAATTATTGAGAGAGTTCTGAGTTCATCCACAAAAGTCTGTGGGTGTTATCCAGCCCCAGGAGGTGTCCGAAAACATCAGCTGGTGTTGGAACACTGCTTTCTTTGATTTTGTACATTTAGTTGGGAAACGTTTCCAAGTCCTGAGTGGTTCCCAGACAGTGTTTCAGAGGTGTTAGCTAAAGCTCCTTTTCCTCCCTCCCTCCACCCCTGATAATCATTCATAATCTTTGGTTTCCCTTTATTTGCTTATTTCCTATAAGTGGGATCATACAGTATTTATCATTTTGTGATTGACATTTCACTCAGCGGGATGCTTTCAGGAATCATCCTTGCAGAGGCTTGCTTCAGGGCTCCATGTCTTTATGGCTGAGTAGTGTCCCATTAGGAGCTCTGGTGGTGTAGTGCCTAAGGCACTTCACTGCTAACCAGAAGGCTGGCAGTTCAAACCCACCAGCCACCCCTCGGAAGAAGGGTTGGACAATCTACTTCTGTAGTGATATCTCCTCAGAAACCCCAGGAGGGGTCGCTATGAGTCAGGTCTGACTCGATGGCACATAACGACAACAACGAGTGTTCCATTGTATGAATGGACCACATTTGGTTTATCCATTCATCTGTGGATGGAGCAGACATGAAATTTTAAATCCCAAAATGTGAAGTAGAGTGAAAAAAAATATCCCAGGCACTAAAAAGGACACATTTATACTATCTTTCCTTTCCCAACTTAAAATAACTTTTCTAGACTAACTGTCTCTCACCTAGATGTGTTTGGAAAAGAATTAAACCAGCATGATTCTTTAAAAAGACTGAACATCTTATATTTTGTTTTAAGCTTAAAAAAACGTGTTGATGGCTCTATAAACTCAGTACTGATTCATCCATAGATCTCTGACAGCCCTAGTACACCTGTCTTACCAGAAGAAAAAATACTAAGTTGAATGAAAACAAGGGGTATGCTGTTACTTTTTTTCAATATATATAATATTATTCCCACAAAAGAGAACTAGAAGTTAAAAAGATATGCATTATTTGTATAACTTTGTATTGGAGTTGGCTGGAGTAAGGTGTGCAAAGAGGTATTAGAAGTACCTCTTACTTCACTTCTCCGTCAGAAAAAGATGCACGTATCCATAGATGTTTTTGACACAATGCCTAGAACTCAAAGCTTTTAATGGGCCAATGAAAAGTGTTGGAGACCTAAAGAATAAGATACCCTGGTCCTAAAGTACAAGAAAAATCACAAAGGGCAAAATAAATAAATAAATAACATGTCAGTTTAATTAAGCGTTAAATTTGGAATTCATTCACCTCTCATTTAGATTCTTTGTGAGATTAAGTGACCTCACTCAGCAAGAATTCTCCAGCCAGGCATTCATTCAGCATTCACCAGGGATAAAAGAATAATTATAGAAGTCCTTTCAAAAATGTTTAGAGCAAAAATAAAAGCCTTGACCTGGTTTTAATATGCCTGACATGATGTAGTGTGGCATCTTCAAAAGTGAGAATGTGTGGAGGTGGAGAAAGCATCAAAATAGGGGGCCAGCAAGTCCCCCATCAGCTCTGGGCTTCTATTAGTAGTGGCTGCAGAAAAATAATTCCTCCAGCCCCACAGTCCAAGCAAAAGTCTCAAGGTTGACTTTGATTGGTTAAGCTTGGGTCATATGATATCCCTGCACCAATTACATGAGGGAGGAAAGCAATGCTCTCTTTGGCTGAATAAGGTCCCATGCACATCACAGAGACCAAAGAGGTGGGTCAGAGAGTTGGGTCTAGTCCTAGTGACTGGAGTAGGGGTGGGGACTGGACCAAGGGGTTGTCAATAGGGGGCCAATTCTGGCCCCACCTAGGGGACACTTAGCACTGCCCAGAGGCATTTTTGGTTGTTATGACGAGGGGTGGGGGGGTGCTACTGGCATCGAGTGGGTGGAGTCCAAGGATGCCGCTAAACATCTTACAATAAACAGGACAGCTGCCCACCACCAAGAATAGTGACAAACTGGACACTGAACAGGGCAACAACAGGACTGGACAGGTCTTCAAGGTCACCTCACTGACTTCTTCAGATCAGACCAAGGCCAGAGAAGGGCTGAGATCCACCCAAAGTCACCCATGCCTTGGGCACAGTGAATGTTGTGCCCAGTCAGAGGAGGATCCAGGGTGGAGCGTGGGCATCTGAGACTAGGACAACAGTGGTGGGTCCTTGTTCAGAGTCGAGCTGGGATGCAGTGGGAGGGCAGCAGGGAGGGTCATGGGAGCAAGGTAAGCATGCCCTAAGCCATGAGTGATGGAGGTTGAAGCCAGGGAATCCAGAGCTGAATGATCTGGGGTGTGTGTGTGTGTGTGTGTACGCACACACACACACGCACATGCACATGCATGACAAACATATGTGTAACATACAACTTACCATTTTAACCATTTTAGAGTGCACAATTCAGTGGCATTTAGAGCATTCACAAGGTTGTAGAACCACCACATCTATCTAGTTCCAGAACTTCTTCATCTCCTAAAAAAGAAATCCTGTACCCATAGCAGTTGCTCCCCATTCTCCTCTCCCCCAGCTTCTGGCAACCACGAATCTGCTTTCTTTCTCTGTAAGTTTGCCTCTTCTGGACATTTCATATCAATGGAATCAGATACTGTGTGGCCTTTTATGTCTGGCTTCTTTCACTCAGTATAATGTTCATCCACATTGTAGTGTGTATCAGAGTTTCATCTTTTTCATGGTTGAGTAATATTCTGATGTGTGGACGGACCACACTGTGTTTATGTATCATCTGTCGATGCACACTTGGGTTGTTTCCATCTTGTGGGTGTTTGAATTGTGCTGTAGTGAACATTGGTGTTACAGGTACCTCAGTTCCTGTTTTAATTTCTCTTGGGTAGATACATAGGCAGGGAATTACTGGGTCACATGGTAATTCTGTGCTTAACTTTCTGAGGGACTGCAAAACCATTTGCTAAAGCAGCTGCACCATTTTCCAGTCCCACCAGCAACAGATGAGTATTCCAATTTTTCCACATTCTTGCCAACACTTATTATTGTTCAGTCGTTTGATTTTAGCCATTAAGATCTCTGGGTGGTGCAAATGGTTTGAACTTGACGACTAACCCAAAGGTTGGTGGTTGGTTTGAACCCACCCAGTGGCAACCTGCTTCTGAAAAGATGACAGCCAAACAAACCCTACGAAGCAGTTCTACTCGGTAGCAAGTGGAATCACCTTGAGCCAAAATGAACTGCATAGCAACAGGTTTTTAGTTTTAGCGAATGGGAAGTGGTACCTCATTGTGGTTTAGATTTGTATTTCTTAAATGACTAAGGACATTGAGCATCTTTTCCTAAGACCTGGTTTTGAAAGGTGCTCTGAGCTCACCTTGGGATTTCCCCTCTCGATTTCAGTTTCTATGTCTGTGCAGTGGGTTCATCTCTGTCATTTCCTAGCTGTGCAGTGTTGGTGGAGTCCCCTAACCTCCCTGGGCCTCGGTTTCTTTATGTGCAAAATAGAGATCATGATGATAAATCTTAGGATGTAAAAGCATCGAGTGAGTTCATGTATGAATGCCTGGTATGCTGGGGTGTTTTCTGTGGTGACTCCCTGTTTCGGGGAGCCCCTTGAGGGCTTGGGAGCTGAGTTTACTGAATGAATAAATGAGAGTCCTTTCCCTCCCCAGCGCTGTCCATCTACGCTCTGCTACTCTTTGAAATTGAGACGGGCGCAGCAGCGGCCTCCATCCTCGGCTTGGGCGCTCTGGCCCTGGTGGCTGTGCTGACTCACACTCTCCTCCGTGCTGCCCGGGCCACCCGCCGTGGCCTCCATGAACTATCCCCACCACCCTTTGAGGACGACCCCACCCGGCCCACCGAGGTCTCCAAGGCCAGCCCTGGGGCTCAGCCCCAGCAGGGTACCCACCGCCGTTCCCCCTACAAGTCTTGCCCAGAGCCTGGGATCCCCCTTGGGCCCATGGCCACCACCATGGCACCCGTGGCCCTCGGGGGAGGCCGGGAAGGCAGCCTGCCTGCATCCCGCATGCACCGGACCCTGCCAGCTGGCTTAGGGCCCTGGGATGGGGTCACACACGAAATGCGCAGCATGTTGGGCCATAGGCCTGGGGCTGTGGGGAAAGACTCCACACTGGTGTGAGCCCAGAGGTCAAGGATAGGGGGCTGGTGTCAGGCTACAGGAAGAGCACTCTGTAGGGATAGGTCCAGGCTTAGCCATAATAGCAGTAGCACTTGATGTCCCTCTCAGTCAACAGCACCTCAGGATCTCAGACTTTTGTCTTCAGGGATGCCTTGTGGTGCAAAATAGCTGCCAGGGCTCCAGCCTCCGCCTCCTAACTCACAAGGAAGGGGGAAAAGCCAGGGTTGGGTCAACACCTTCAGGAAGCCTTCCTGGGAGACCTTGGGACCCTTCTGTTTATACCTTATTGGCCAGAACCAAGTTCCATGGTCACACCACCCTGTAGAAGAGTGACTGCGAAACCTGGCTGCCCAGAATGAATGAGACTCTTTTATAGGCAGGAGGGAGGGACATAGCTCAGGTGGCAGTTTTCTGAATCTCTCTGTCAATTTTACAGATGAGGAAACTGAGGTTCCAAGAGAGGCGGTGACTCACCAGGGGGCCCACAGCCAGTTCTGAGCATCAGAGCCAGGATTCACACCTCGGTTCCATGGCCCCCATGCTGCAGACCGCGAAAGTTTCAGACTCTGCAATTCCCCACTGCACCCCCTGGGCCGGGAGCATCTGAAACCCGTGTGCCAAGCCCAGGGCCAGGGACACGCCTGCAGGTGAGGGGGTTCCCCTCTCTGTGCCTCGGTTTCCTTGTCTGTAAAATGCGGACAGGAAGTGGTTTCCCTTCAGGACTCCCATGAAGGGTTACACACGTGACTGACTCAGTGTCCCTCCAGTGTCCTGTGCACAGTTGGTCCCCAATCCTGTGACCCAACCCTGTGCCACTGTCAGGCGTTAAGGGTGGATGGCTGGTGGCTGGGCTCCTGTTGCCTTCAGGGAAAGGGAGCTGATGGGGAGTTTCTGGGGCTCACAGAGTTGCCAGGACCCAGCATGGATCAGAACAGAGACCCAGGGGTCTCCAGAGAGAGACCCTTACTCACCCCTGTTTTGAATGACCCACAAATAAACCCAGACTATCTGCTGTCTCTGTGTCTCTTGAGTGGGGTACATGAGCAAGGGGGGGCAGGCTGTGCCCCCTGCAGACCCCAGTCTGGAACCTCCAATCCCATCAATGCTCACACGTAGGAATTCTCCCTCGGGGTGGGACTGCTCTGCCTCTCATTCCTACCCAATCAGAGACGTGCCTCCAGAAATCTCGCAGCTTGTCCCTTCTGAGCCAGGGGGGCTCCAGGGCCCAAGGAGGGGAAATGGCTTGCTGGGACCCCACCCGATGGGCCAAGAGCCTCAGGGAGGTGATGGCACCCAGTAAGGGGCCTGGTCCTGAGCGGACCCCTGAGCTGATGGGACACTCACGGAATCCATGCCCTGCCAGCCCCAGCCTCCTCCTCTCTGGGCCCAGGAAGCTGTGCAAACCTCCCAGAGCCTCCGTTTCCTCATCCGTGGGGTGGGGCTAAGAGATAACAAACGTGAGCTTCTCGCTTGGTGCACAGCATCTTGTGGGGATGCAGTAAGCATCTGCTCTTAGAGAGGATGAAATAAGAATCAATAGCACATCTTATGCATGCCTGATACTGCAGGGACACGCTGAGCACTGGACGGCCTCAGCTAATCCCTTTCACAGATAGGAAAACTGAGGTCCCCCAAATGAGGCCACCTGTGCATACGAGAGCACATGGTGGCAATGGCTGGAACCCCACCACACGGGGTCTGGGGGACATGGGCGTTTGCAGTTTCTAGAACTCTCTAGAAATGGAACAGGGTCCCGGAGTCTCAGGGAGGTTGGCGATGGGAGGGAAGAGAGATGGAGAACCCCTGGCTGGCTGTTCGTGAGGAGCACCTCGTCTCCTTGACCTGTCAGGGGAAAGGAAAGCTAGACTCTAGCTGAGGAGCAGAAGGAGCTGGCCTCATCTTCAGGCCCAGGGAGAGGTGGGGGCATGGAATTTAAGGAGGTACAGTCCTTGTCCATGCATGCTTCTTGCAGCATAATTCACAGTAACCAAAAGGTGGAAACAGCCCAAGTGTCCATCCACAGGTGAATGGACAACCCCAATGTGGTCCATTCATATAACAGAATGTTAGCCATAAAGAGAAATGAAGCCCTGGTAGACGCTGTAATGTGGAGAAACCTCAAAAACATGATGCTCAGCGGGAGAAGCCAGTCACCAATGGCCACATAATGGTTGATTTCACTTTTATGAAATGTCCAGAACAGACAAATCCATAGGGACAGAAAGTGGTTGCCGAGAGCTTGCGGAAGAGTCCTCGTGGTGCAGTGGTTAGTACTTGGCTGTTAAGTGAAAGGTGGGCAGTTGGAGCCCACCAAAGGCTCTGCCGTAGAAAGACCTGGCAACCTGCTCCTATAGATTGTTGTTTGTTGCCGTCAGGTTGTTTCTGACTCATAGCGATCCTATCTGTGTACAACAGAACAAACACTGCCCAGTCCTGCGCCACCCTCACAATTGTTGCTATGCGTGAGCCCATCGTTGCAGCCACTGTGTCAGTCCATCTCATTGAGGGCCTTCCCATTTTTTGCTGACCCTCCACTTTACCAAGCATGATATCCTTCTCCAGGGAATGGTCCCTTCTGACAACATGATCAGAGCATGAGAGGCAAAGTCTGACCATTCCCACTTCTAAGGAGCAGTCTGGCTGTATTTTTCCCAAGACAGAGTTGTTCATTCTTCTGGAAGTCCGTGATGTTTTCAATATCTTTCACCAACACTATAATTCAAATGCATTAATCCTTCTTGGGTCTTCCTTATTCATTGTCCATCTTTCATATGGGTATGAGGTGACTGAAAATACCATGGCTTGGGTCGGGTGCACCTTAATCTTCAGAGCGACATCTTTGCTCTTTAACACTTTAAAGAAGTCTTTTGCAGCAGATTTTCCCAGTGCAATATGTCGTTTAATTTCTTGAGTACTGCCTCCATGGGCATTGATTATGGATCTCAGTAAAATGAAATCCTTGACAATGTCAATCTTTTCTCCATTTACCATGATGTTGGTTATTGGTCCAGTTGTGAGGATTTAATTTGTAAAGATTTAAAAAAAAAAAAAAAAAAAAAACCTACAAAATCCTATGAAGCATTTCTACTCTGTAATACAGGTCACTATGAATGGGAACAAGACCAGGTAAGAGGAGGAATGGGGAGTGACTATGAATGGGTATGGGGTTTCCTTTTGGGGTGATAAGAATGTTCTGGAACCAGATAGAGGTGGTGGGTGCATTACACAGTGAACGGACTAAATGCCACTGAATTGTGTCCTTTAAAATGGTTAGTTCCACATTATGTGAAACTCCCCTCAGTTCTGAAGATGGAGGGATATGTTCATTCTTGGGCTGGTGCTGCTGCATGCTCAGCCCCTGCTGGGCTCACCTCCTTAAATTCTGTGCTCTGGGTACCTCGCTCACCTCACACTAGTCCAGTTCTGCTTCTTCCCCTGAGACCTAGAGCTGGAGCCCAGGAACCTCTGAAAGGTTTTGGGAGGCCGGCTGGGAGCGCTGCCCACAGCCCAGTCGAAATCTGGCCCAAACCGGCCTGCCTGGATAGGGAGCTGAGAATCTTCGTATCTTTGCAGAATCAGGTGGGGAGGGACAAGGCTGGCCCAGGGCTAAAGCCAAGCGCTCAGAGTGCTGGTCTCGCAGGAGACATGTGATCAGGGTCTGGCGTGTTCCTGGACAGTCCTGGCTCAGTGACAGTCATGGGACCAGCACCTCGGTTTCCTTCCATGAAAGAAAAATAACATCCCCACCCCCAAAGCAGAGCCAGAAGGACCAAATAGGAAAGGTATCAAGGGGTCCCTGGGTGGAGCAAATAAGGCACAAATGCTAACTTAAAGGTCGGTGGTTCAAACTCACCCAGTGATGCCACAGAAAAAAGGCCTGGCAATCTACTTCCATGAAGATTACAGCCATGAAAACCCCATGGAGCAGTTCTACTCTGTAACACATTGGGTCACCATGAGTCCAAATCGACTCCATGGCAACGGGTTTGGTTTTGGTTGGATCAACATCTCAGTTAATTCCACGGCGTGGCTATTGACATCTGGGGCCTTTTAGGATGTAGGCAACATCTTTTAAAGGTGTTACATGTTGCCTGGGTTTGGGGTGGCCAGAACCGCAGCCTGAGATGATTGGCGAGCATGTGGTTTACCCGGAAGGCAGTCCCAGGGATCCACCCTGGGGAGTGGGGAGGTGAGACAGGGAGGGAAGGAGCCCTGCAGGGGGCGCCATAGAGCAGATGACACTGTTGGCAACCAGGGCTCAGTTTGGTTGGGGACCTCAGGGAGACAGCACAGAGCACACACCTCAGAGTGGTCCCACCCCACGGGCAAGGGAACCATTATTCACACCCAGCCTAATTTGGATTTCCTAGAATACAGACCCCAAGATAAAAGATTTAGGGCACATGGGGTATCTGGGAAGCCCCTCTGGGGTGTGGAATTGAGACAAGGAGGAAAGGAGCCCTGCAGGGGGCGCCAAAGAGCAGATGATGCCGTGGGCATGGGGAGTTCCATCCCTCTGGGAACCTCAGGGAGACAGAGTGGAGTATGTGCCTCAGAGTGGCCCCACCTCACAGGTCAGGGAGCTGTGGTTAACCTCTGGTTCTCATCAGGCATTGGTGAGAGCTGCTTCTGGGGGTGGTAACTCCTTGAACTTCCTGTGCTGGGCTGGACAAACTCCTGTAGTTAGCGGAGGCCGTAGTTGCAGGTGTTTGTCCTGAGTCATCTTCATCATGCAGAGATGGAGGCAGAGGGAATGGCGGGGAAGAATACATCGACAGAACCTACTCCAGCTACGCTGCGTTTTTGCAACAGTAGGCACAAGTGGGCTACTGAAAGCACTTAACCACACTATGGATTGATTTTGGAGCTACTGGGTTTTGCCAAACACCATGCCTAACCCACACACTCATCTCTAGGTGTTACCGTTGTTGTCCATGGTACAGCAACCCGTATCAACCCAGAAAGGAAACAGAATGGAATGTAAATGCTTCAGGGGAGCACAATAGAGAGCAGTGAGGGCCACAGCTGGCCTCTGCAACATCTGAACACAGGAAGCATTCACACCATCCACCCTGCTTGGGCCTGTGGCTGCAGAAACCTGCCAGCTGCAAAGAAAATGTTTTTGCAACAGTCAGTAGGGGCAGCCAAGAGAGAGCTCCACGGTACAGGAGGTGAGGATTGTGGCAATTCCTGTTGTAAAGAAGGGGAAACAGAGGCACAGAGATGTTAAGCCCTTTGTCCAGGGTCACCAGCTAGTGAATGGTGAAGAGAGGGTGTCTCTGCAGGAAGGCCTGCTTGGTACCCAGCCCCCTTGCCAGGCTTCACACTCAGCACCCAGGAGCCAGCAAGAGGTAGGAAGGACACACCTCCTTCTTGGGTAGAGGGGCCATGACAGCCAGAGGCCTGTTTCCTCCTGTGTCAGTTCAGCCCAGAGCATGGTGTCCCATACCGCTTAGCACAGTGGAGTCTAGGACCAATGTGATCCCAGAGCGGGTGGCTGTGCTCAGAGGGTGGGGATGTTGCAGTGCTGAGTGGCCATGCCAGGATGGTCCTCTGGGGGCCCAGTCACACGTGGCCACCCTGGAAAGTGATCCAGGACCAGTTTCAGGGCAGCCAGGATGGCGACAGGGAGAACAAACAGCCTTTGCTTCCTGGCTGGTCAGATCAGGTTCTTTGGTGGCAGTGGCGCCAGGCAGGCCGGGAGGGGCCCAAGAGGGAGATGCAAGATGCTGGAAGACAATGACCCACAGAGGGGGAACAGAGCAGCAGGGGGCGGGGGTCCACACACCCACTCTTCTCAGAGCCAAATGGATGGCTTTCCCAAGGCAGCTGAAGAGTTTGGGGGAGGGTACATCTTGCAGTCTCCCCCAATCTCCCGTTCATTCTCCAGGATGGTGCACCATCCCCCTACTCCAGACTCCCGTGGTGGGGCCAGGAGCCCCCTCAGACTCTCTGTCTCCCTCTTCAGGCCCTATTTCCCCTGAAACTCCCATGGCAAGATCATATCCTCTTTCTGACCCCTAGGGCGGGGCCCCATCTCCCCCCTCAGACCCCCAGGGCAGGTTTGTTGGACACAAGCTCCTGAGTGGGTCCTACTTCCCTTTCAGGACCTGTGACCCCTTCTAGCCAATGAGCTGTGAGTAGGATTTTGAACATTTCAAGGTTGAGACCGAGTCCTCCCCCCACTTCAGGGCGAGGGTAGCCCTCAATCATCACGGGGGTTTCTGCAGGACCGAGGACCCCTCCCTCCACTGCTGGCAGTGTGGAGGAGCAAGAAGCCTTCGCCCGTCTAAGGTGCGCAAGGATCCAGCGGACCCCTAGAACCTGGGAAGAGAGTGGTACAGAGGGGAGCAGGGCCAGGGCCCCGGGCACATGCACTTGGGGCACCTCGGCTTCATTTAACAAATAGCTGTCGAGTACCTGGAGTCTCTGGGGGTGCAACAGCTCGACTGCTAACACAAAGACCAGCAGTTCAAGTGCACCTAACGAATCATGGTCAATTCAACAGTAATTTTTTTTTTAATCCAGTACTTAATACACACACACACACAGCCGCAGAGCAATGAAATGTGCAGAAAAGCCTGGGGGCCGAGCATGGGGGCTCTGGGCTGAAATCCCAGCTGTGACCTGAACTTTCCCAACCTAGCTTCCCGTTCTATAAAATGGCAACACAGGCAGGGCTTCCCTCCAGGCTGGGGGAGGACCCATGAGGCACGTGCACTGGGAGTCAACAGGATACTAATGGTGGCTATTTATGCGGCTTGAACCGTGTATCCCCCAAAAAAGTGTGTTCAAGTTTTGACCCTGGTGGCTGTGAATGTGCCTTTGTTTGGTCTCTGAAGATGTGATCAGTTAGGTTAACATGAGGTCTTTCTGGAGGAGGGTGGGTCCTTATACAAAAGGGACACACGGACACAGCACAGAGTGGCGGCCACATGAAGATGGAACAGAGACCGAGGTGGTGCAGCCAAGCCTGGGGATGCCTGGGACTGCCAGAAGCTTAGAGGCCCGGAGGGAGCGGAGCCCTGCCAGCCCTTTGGACCCAGACTGCCAGCCTGCACGAAAGGAGCCCCAGTAGTTAAAGTGTTCAGCTGCTAACCAAAAGGTGAGCAGTTCGAATCCATGAGCTGCTCCTCCAAGGAAAGATGTGGCAGTCTGCGTCTGTAAAGATTTACAGCCTTGGAACCCGTATGGGACAGTTCTACCTGTCCTATGTCCTATATGGTCACAGAGTCAGAATCCACTGGTCAGCAGTGGGTGTGGCTGTTTTTTATGGTCCGCAGGACTTTGAGAGAATACCTCTCTCGTTCTTGGCCCCAGGAGACTAATACACTATCACTATCAATTACTGCTGTCATTCCCAAAGGAGGGCCAGGGCCGGTCTCCTCTGCCAGCCCGACTGCTGCCCCGCTGCTCTCAGGGCCTGTTTTCCCTGTGTACCCGGGAGCCCCACCACAGCACCCTTCCTGGGGCTGCAGGGCTCCGTGATCCCCTCGTCAGGGTCGTGCTGTGTGTGGGCAAGAAGGGCAGGCGAGGCCGGGATCAGGACTCCGGACGGCAGAGCCAGGGCGGCAGCATTTATTGTCGGAGGACACTCCTCCTCCCGTGGCACCATGGATAGTTTGACAGGAATGACTTGAAGGCACTGGTTTCATCCAACTCCACCCCTACCTGCAGGGGCCCAGGGTCAGGACACACCCTTCCTCCCAGTAGTCGCCTCACTCCACCCCCTCCTCCTGGGCTGGGGCAACAATGCAGGTCTCGGAGCCCTGAGACACCCAAGTTCCCAGGACACAGCAGAGGCAGAGAAGACAGGGCCGTGGCCGGGCTCAGGGTGCTGGCTGCAGTGTCGAGCAGGGGCTCCTGGGGGCCTGAGAGGCTATGACACGCTGGGGGGCAGGCGTGCGGCTGCCGTCTTCTCTACCACGAAGCCATAGTTGTACTGTGGGAGGGGGCAGGTCACAGAGTGAGGGAGGTGCCCAGGGTAAAGGGAGGGCCACAGTGTTGACTAGGAAGGGCAGTGAAGGGGGCCCAGGGAGAGACCGGGGCAGGGGGGGTCCCCAGCATCCGGCCCTCCCTGACCCCAGCACCTACCTCCTCCTCAATGTCCGCCAGTGACTTGATGGTCAGGTCAGCAAAGGCAGAGAAGGTCTGGCAGGTGGGGGTGGGTCAGTCTTACATCCAGAACCCACCCTGCCACCTGCTATCCAAGGAAGCCCCCCCCCACCCAATATCTGCTCAGACAGGCCCTCCTCTGCTTCCTGCCGCCATGTCCAGGCTGCCCCTCCTCACCGGGAACTGTCTCCATTTCCAGACCTGGCTCCAGACAGGAGACCCTTTAGGGCTTCCCCTTGGCGTCCACCCCCCCTTGTTCCCCTTCCCCCAACCCCAAAGAACGTTCCAGAATCTCTTTGTGGAATTAAGTTTGTCCGATACCCTGTGTGGACCCCGGTGTGGAGGGCCCAGTGTGTGTGCCAGGGGTGGCTGGACATGGGCTGTGGGTCCTATGGGCCCCTGCTCCTAGAACAGGGGTGAAGGGACAGACTCACCAGGGGGCTGCAGCTCTTGCCCTCAAATCTGGGGTGCAATGTGAAAGGAACCCCATCCATGGCTGAGGAAAGCACAGGGGAGGAGAGGGCACTGAGGCATGAGGGGATTCAGGCATCTACTGCCCACTTGCCCCAGGGGGCCCACTCAGGCTCTTCCAGTTGGAGGTCGACCAGGGCGTCCAACAGGTATTGTCTGAACGCTGGCTTTATCCTTTCCCTGCTGTGTCCCCCCTGGCCCTCAGTTTCCCCTCCTGTGCTCACCTGAGATGCCATAGAGGCTGGAGGCCTCGTAGATGGAATCACTCCTCCTCAGGGTGGACGTCCGTGAGCCAAGACGTGACAGTGTTCGCTCTGGGAAGCTGCCCTTACTGTGGCGGGGATGTGATGGCCCTGGTCAAGCCTGAGGTGATGCCCCCCTCCATGGCAGCCCCAATCCCCATGCCCTGGGGCTCACCTGGGCCGGCCTGGTGGGTCCAGGGAGAGGTCCCGCATGTCCCGGCTGAGCCCATGGGGCTTGGGTACTGGTCGTGGGGCCTTGGCCTTCTTGCACCAGATGGCAAAGCCACCCATGTCCCTGGAGGGGGAAGGAGGAAGTGAGTGTGACTGGTCCAGGTGCAAAGGCCCAGAAGAGCTGGAGCTGGACCGGGGGCTGGGGCCCGACATCCCAGTGACAGCCAGGGTGGTTGGGGTCACCAGGCGGGAGGAAGCTGGGCGTCTGGGAGATCTGGTATTCCAGCGAGTTTTGTTTCAGCATCTTGACTGGCACCTGAGCACAGACTGTTGTTGGGGTGACTGTCAGTTGATTCTGCCTCACGGTGACCTCAAGTGTTACCGAGCAGAACCCCTCCATAGGGTTGTCTTGGCTGTCATCTTTATGCACTCGGCTCACAGGCCTTTTTCTGCAGTGCTGCTGGGGGTTCAAACTGCCCATCTTCTGGTTACTTCTTGTCGCTAGTTACCAGTGAGTCAACCCCCGACCATGGTGACCCCGTGTGCATCAGGGCAGAACTGCTCCACGGGCTCGACAAGGCCGTGGTCTTTTAGAAGAAGATCTAAGACTGGGTCTCTCCTCCCTCGAAGCCACTGGGTGAGTCTGAACTGCCAACTTTTGGCTAATAGTCGAGCACTTAACCATCTGAGCCACCCATGGACTCCTAGCAACACAGCACCTGCTGTTCAATGCTGGCACCCATCACCATTTCTGTTGTTGCTGTTAGCTGCGTCGAGTGGGTTCTGACTCAAAGCGGCCCTATGTGCGACAGAACGAAACGCTGCCTGGTCGGGCCCCGTCCTCAGAACCCTGTTCTACCTGAGCCCCTCGTTCTATAACACCCCAAATCATACATTTCTCACAATGGCCCTAAGAGACTGGGACAGCGATCTCATTTTTAAGATGCAGAAACTGACACCCTGAGAGGTGACAGGAGGGACAGAAACTCAGGAGAGTCTCTGAGAGTCAGAAGGGTCCATACAGGAGCTTAGAGGGTATGGATGGAGGCTGGGGGCTGGGGACAACCCTACCCTACTCTCAGGTATCCAGGCACCGTCTTGGTCTTCCCGCTCAGCCGGACGTCAAACACGGCAGTGTCCGCAGCCCCCAGGGGTACCAGCCTCACGCACATCCGTTTCTTCTTGGACACAGAGGCCTCTGCAGGAGGTGGGGGCAGGGAAGTGAGAGAGGATAGGAGAGAAGGGCAGGAGTGCCCACAAAGGGCTCCAGATGGAGCCTGCACAGCCACTGGAGGAGATGGGTCACATCACAAGTGGTATAGGCACGGGAGGGGGCACCATGCAGCCAACAGGAGTCGTTACCTGTTGCCTCTGAGTTGACTCCAACTGACCATGGCCCTGTGTGTCAGAGCAGAGCTGTGCTTATAGAGGTTTCCATGGCTGATTTCTTCAGAAGCAGATTACCTGGCTTTTCTTCCGAGGTCCCTCTGGTTGAACTTGAACATCCAACCTTCGGCAAGCAGCCGAGTCTGTTAACTATTTACACTACCCAGGGGCTCCCTAGGGCAGGCCTAGTTTTGGTGACATGGCAACTGTGGGTACCATGGCAAGGGTGCCCATCCTGGTGCTCCGAGCCTCACTTTCCCACAGTCCTCTAACCCAGAGCTTGGCCAACCACGGGCCACAAGCCAAATCTGGCCCCAAACCTGCATACATACCGGAAGCTCAGTATGTCATTTTATTTTAAACTTTTTATGATGATTTGAGTATGTTTACAGAGTAAATTGGTTTTCCACTCAACAACTCATACACGTTTTGTTCTGGGACACTACCTGCAATCCCCATAAGGTAACAGCACCCTTCTCATCCCCCCTAGTGTTTCCATTCCTCCTTCTTTCCTAGTGCCTCCTGCCTTCCAAGCTTCATCCCTGGTCAAATGCTGTTCTTTTGATCTCACATGGTTGACTGTTCCAAGGAATACAGAGCCCTGGTGATAGAGTTCGATTTAGAGACCCTTCTATTATTGTTTGGCTGAAAGTTCAGCCACGGGGGTGAGTTCAGTTCCAGGCTTGAAGGCTGACTAAGGGCCATGGTCTCAGGGCTTCTGCCAGTCTCCATCAGACCTGTAGGCTTGGTCTTTTTTATGATTTTGAGTTTTGTCCTACATTTTTCTCCCACTCTATCCAGGACCTCCTATTATGATCCCTTTCAGAGCGGTCAGCAGTGGAAGCCGGGCGCCATCTAACTTTTCTGGCCTTGGTGTGAAGGCTGATGTTTACATGGTCTATTAGTCCCTTAGACTAATTGTTTACAAGAGTCTTTGATTTTCTTCACTCTCCTTTGCTCTGGGTGAGGAGAGATCAATAGTTGCACCTTAGCGGGCCAGTTGCTACTCACCAAAGTAGGACAGAGAACAGTGTCTTTGTGGACTATGTTATGCCAATGACCTTGATGTCCCGAGACTACGGTCCTCAGTCCCTGGGCCCAGCAACTCATTCCCCCAGGTGTCCGGTTATGGTTAAGTGGGCTTTTATATTGTTGGTGGTGGTGTCAGCTGCTGTCAAGCCAGGCAGACTCCTCATGGTGACCCCCCACATGCAAGAGAAGTCACGCCCGGTCCTGCACCGTCCCCATGGTCAGTTACAGACTGGACTGTTCTGATCCATAGGTTTTCATTGGCTAATTTTCAGAAGATCTCCAGGCCTTTCTTCCTGGTCTCTCTTAGTCTGGAAGCTCTGCTGAAACCTCTTCAGCACCCCAGCAGTACACAGGCCTCCACCGACAGATGGGTGGTGGGCATGCGTGAGGTGCATTGGCCGGGAATTGAACCCAGGTCTCCCCATGGCAGCAGTAACTCTACCATGGAACCACCAGGACCCCCTCTACATGTTTAAAGGGTTTAAAAAAAAATCTTATGGTGACCCCAGGTGTGCAGTACAGAACTTCTCCGTAATGTTTTATAGGCTGTGACTTTTTGGAAGCAAATAGCTTTCTGACACCTGTGGGTGGGTGAGAAGCTCCAGCCTTTTGGCAAGAAGTTGAGCTCTTAGCCATGTGTACCACTCAGCCACCTAGTCACAGCCTTGAAAACCCTAGGGGGCACAGTAACAGGGTCTCCATGAGTTAGAATCCATCAGATGACAACCAACAACAACAATAAAAGAAAGAGAAGATGCAACAGCTAACCTGCAAAGCTTAGAAAAGGGCCATTATTTGTTCCTTTACCAAAAAAAAGGGGTTGTTGTTGCTGTTGTTTTTATGTGTCATCAAGTCAGACCTGACTCATAGCGACCCCTCCTTGGGTTTCCGAGGCAATATCTCTACGGAAGTAGATTGCCCAACCTTCCTTCCAAGGAGTGGCTGGTGGGTTTGAACCGCCAGTCTTCTGGTTAGCAGTCAAATGCCTTAGCCCCACAATTCCTGTATCAATAAACACACCCTGAGGAATCAAACAAAAGTGACAGGACCACGCTGGGGAGGTGAGGTGGAAGCAGAGTGGTCAGCCCTAGGAAGGGCATCTCTGGGGTCCAGAGGAGGAAGAATTAGTTACAAGAACGAGAAAGCGCTCACCAGGCAGAGAGAACGGCGCCTGCAAAGGCCTGGAAATTAAAAAAAAAAAAAAAATTGTGCGTGGGTTCCAGCCACGGGACAAAGAAACCAGAACTAGAGATAGCACTAATATAAAAGGTGGCACTGATTAAACTCTTACTTTGGGCCAGGACTGCGAATCGCATATTTTAAATCAGGACGGGTGACGTCACGCAGCCCCAGAACTCGACTCAGCCAACCCTATCTTCGGTCCGTGTACCAAAAGTGCCCCCTGCCGGGGTGCGGAGGACACCCGCCTGTCATCGCCCCTCTCCCCCGCCCTGCTGCTGCCTAGAGGGACATGGACGCCCTTAGCCCCCGACGCAGGCCTTACTGGAGTCCTGGGGGTCGCAGACAGGGGAGAAGCCGGGCGGTAGGGGGCTTTTGTCCACCAGAACCTGGATCTCGGCCACCACGTTCTCCTGAGGGTTCTGAGGGACACAACAAAGGTCACAGGCGGCGAGGACGGCACGCCAGGATCAGGCCCCGAGAATGGACAGGCGCGACGGGAGGACCCCGGAATCCCGGAAGTGGGCGCCCCCTACCTCGAGGCTGCCCAGGGGGCTGAGGCACAGGAAGTAGCCGGATTTCTGCGCGAAGCTCTTGCCAAAGCTGGCCGGCGCCCCCTCAACGGTGCAGGAGATCTGCGGGGTGGCCACAGGTCAGCGCCAGACTCCCACCTGCAGCGCTGCCGCCTCGGCCCCCATTCAACCCGGTTCTCCAACTCTACCACCTCCGCCCTCCTCAACCCCCGCCCCCGACGCCGGTCACCGCGCTGAATCCTCGCGGCGGAGGTGCAGAAGCCGAGCTCCAGGCCAGGCCGGCCAGCGGCGCCGAGTCGTTTCCAAGGCCCGGATCCATTCTCTGAGTCGATCGCCGAAGGCGGAGGACCGCCTTGGAACTCCGGGTCGCCACCCGACGGCCTAATTCCAACAGGAGTCTGAACTACAACTCCCAGGCGGCCCTGCGAGGGCGGTGGCCCCAGAGGCGGTATATGTGCATGCTCGGAGAGCCGTCGGCCAGTCGTGTGGGGACACAGAGCCCCAACCCTCTGTTGTAACCGAAGTGCGCCAGTGAGCGACGTTTACGGAAAAAAGTCTGTCTTCTTATTCGCTCCTAGCAATTGTCACCGGAAAAGTCGTCACAGCAGAGCGCCAAGGGACGCGGACCCTGAAAGCGTTCCCCAGAATTCCTTGCGGCAACCTGGGTGTTTCGTAGTAAAATTGGGATTGAGTAAAGAAACCTCGCAGTTCTAATTCTAGGAATCCTAGCCTAAGCAATCGTCGTGGGATGCACAGCCATTCGTTTAAATAACAAAAAATTTAGACCACCATGAGCCACGAAATCTTGAGTATAACTGTTGTACGAAAACAGTCCTTACCCCTTGTGGCGAAGAGCCAGTGGTCCCAAAAGGTTGAAGAGAGAAAGCAAAAGATGTATTGAGTATCGACACCCAAGGAGACAGAATCGTTAATCCAAAATGTCTGTCTCCCCGAGCTGGGGAATGGTTAGAGCTTTTAAAGGGAATCGAGGGGGATAGGTCTTAGAATGCTGGTAATATTTTCTTTTCGTTGTAGGATGAGTTGTGGTTATCATGTGGTCTCTTGGCCCTTCTGGTCCGTGATGAAGAAACTGCCCTTGGTCCTTCAGGAGCCTTGCACCTGTCTAGAGAGATTTATTCTGCAAGAGGGAGAGTGTGGGTCTCCTTTTTCTTGGTTGGTCCAGGGCTGGGTGTTTCCTTTCTCAGGGCCCCCTTGTTAGGGGCTACGGCTCATAGCTGCAACTAATTGGGGGAAAGAGTGATGCTTCAAGGAATACACAATTAGGAACAGTAAATCTGAAGAACGCAACGTTGTAAATAAAGTCTGGCTATAGTATGCACTGGGAGCTCTGGTAGCGTAGTGCCTAAGGCACTTGACTGCTAACCAGAAGTCTGGCGGTTCAAACCCACCAGCCACTCCTCGGAAGGAAGGTTGGGCAATCTACTTCCGTAGTGATATTGGCTCGGAAACCCAAGGAGGGGTCGCTATGAGTCGGGTCCGACTGAATGGCACATAAAAACAACAACATAGTATGCACTTAGAAGAGAATTATAAGGCAGGGGAAAAACAGCGAATTAGTTACTAAGATGAATGTCTACTTTAATCATGGCTGTTAGCTTGTAAAGGTTTTGCAGGTTTCAGTGAGGGGCCCTCCTCATAACTGGAGGACTTTTTCACAGATGCATGAAAACTGACTCGTTGCCATTGAATTACTCCAACTCATAGCGACCCCATGTGTGTCAGAGTGGAACTGTGCTCCACAGGGTTTCCAGTGGCTGATTTGCCAAAAGTATGAGGCCAGGCCTTTTTTCCAAGCACCTGTAGGTAGGCTTAATCAGACCGTGTTTCACTGCTATTCATAAGGTTTTCACGCGCCAATACTTTGAGAAGTGGATGGCCACTTTCTTCTTAAGAGTCTGCCTTAGTCTGGAAGCTCCACTGAAACCTGTCCACCGCGGGTGACCCTGCTGGGATTTGAAATACCGGGACCATAGCCTCCAGCTTAACAGTGACATACATGCAAGCCTCCACGGCGCAACAAACTGACAGACAAGTGATGGAAAGGATTATGGGACTGGCACAGGACTGGGCAGCATTTTGTTGTGTTGTACATAAGGTTGCTATGAGTCAGAGCTGACTCGACAGCAGCTAACAAGAACTAGGTAGGCTTGAAGTTCCAACCTTCTGATTAGCAGCCTAGCACCTTTCATTAAAAGTATTTAGATTATTTAAATAATCTAATTATCTCAAGTTCATTAAAAGTTCCAAGATCGGCAGAGCATGGCAGACTGCTGAACAATGACTTGGCTACATGCAGGATTCAAGCATGCCGTAAGCTGGAGACCATTCCCAAAGCTGCTGCTTATCTATGGGAAGCAGACCACATCCCTAAAGGAGCTACTCAGCTATTTGTGGTGGTGGTGTTAGGTGTGGTTGAGCGGTCCCCAACTCATAGCGACCCTATCTGCAGTAGAACGAAACACCACCTGGTCTCACGGCAGCTCCACGATTCTTGCTGTACTTGAGCCCATCGCTGCTGCCACCGTGTCGATCCATCTTGTTGAGGGCTTTCCCCTCTTTCGTTGACCCTCCACCTTACCAAGCATGACATCCTTCTCCAGGGAATGGTCCCTTCTGACAACATGACCAAAGTAGGTGAGACGAAGTCTGGCCATTCTCGCCTCCAAGGAGCATTCTAGCTGCACTTCCTCCAGGACAGACCTGTTAGTTCTTTTAGCAGTCCATGGTACTTTCAGCATTCTTCACCAGCACCACAACTCAAAAGCAGCATCAACTCTTCTTCGGTCTTCCTTGTTCATTGCCCAACTCTCACATGCATATGAGGCAATTGAAAATACCATGGCTTGGGTCAGGCTTACCTTAGTCCTTAAGGAGACATCTTTGCTCTTCAGCACTTGAAAGAGGTCCCTTGCAGCTGATTTGCCCAGTGCTGTACGTCATCTGATGTCCTGACTGCTGCTTCCATTGGCTTCAATCCTAGAACCAAGCAATGTGAAGTCTTTGACAACTTTAATCTTTTCTCCATTTATCGTAACACTGCTTATAGGTCCAGTTGTGAGGATTTTTGTTTTCTTTATATTAAGATATAATCCATACTGCAGACTGTAGTCTTCAATCTTCATCAGTAAGTGCTTCAAGTCATCCTCACTTTCAGCAAGCAAAGTTGTGTCATCTGCAGGCTGTTAATGAGTCTTCCTCCAATCCTCATGCCACGTTCTTCTTCATATATTCAGCTTCTCAGATTATTTGCTCAGTATACAGATTGAATAAATATGGTGAAAGGATACAACCCTGACACACTCCCTTCCTGCTTTTAAACCACACAGTATCCCCTTGTTCTGTTCAAATGACAGCCTCCTGGTCTATGTACAGGTTACTCATAAGTACAATTAATTGTTCTGGAATTCCCATCCTTCTCCATGTTATCCATAATTTGTTATGATCCACACAATTGAATGCTTTTGCATAGTCAATGTTCTGGTTCCCTAGTGCCGCTCTGACAAGAATATACCACAAAAGGGATGGCCTTAACAAACAGGAGTTTACTGTCTCACAGTTTGGAGGCTTTAAGTCCAAGTCCAAACTGCCAGGTTCTAGGGGCTGGGTGAAAGCCCCTCAACCTTGGGGTCCAGCTCTGCCTCCTGCTCCCAGCCCACTGGAGCTAGAGTCATTTCTTCACTCAGACAGCTGCCAGCTCTTTTCACGTGGGACTGCCATGTGTTGGAATTGACAGCACGAAACTACCGCCACAATAAGCCTCACTATCAGCAGGGAAATGTCCACTGTGGCCAACTGGGAACACCCGCTAAAAAATATCCTGTCAAAGTTAACTTTACAGAGTTTATTCAGTTATGAAAAGACCCATGTATGGAAGCACCACTCTGTGGTGAAATGAGTTCCTTTATGGGGCCTTCTGTTTGGTTCTTTGGAAAAACAGCTTGAGAGATGTTTCCCTAAACCTTTGCCCTAGTCTTGGTACATTTCCTAGGTCAGCTGTAAAACTTGATTGAATACTTTTTGTCTGGTCCCGGGTTGCAGCCTACCCTGTGATTGGTATAGTTGGTCAGAGCAAATGTAGACTATGTATACAAAACTGTATACAAATGCATACTATACAAATGAAGTGACTACAACTATGGAAATGAAGTTACTATAGCCCGCTATGCAAATGAAGTATCTGTGGCCTGCCAAGGGGGGATGGTCAGTTCATGGCCCTAGTGAGCGGCCGTGTCTTAAAACTGCCAGATTTGCTTAAATATGCAGCCAACCCCACAGAGGTTTTTCAGACAGAAGCAGAAGGAAGACAAGAGAGAAGCAGAGAGAGGAGGCAAGAAATGTCCTAAAAGAGCTGTAACATGGGTTAAGAGCTATCACACTAAAGATAGTGACCCATGAAGGAGCGCAGAAGCAGAGCAGTGTGGCAGACAGGAGGGCTGAGAGAAGCCTGTCCTCAGGGGGCATGCACAGCAGGGAGAAGGCCTGCTTGCCTGCACAGCCGAGAAGACTGAGAGAGCTGCCCTGCACTGACGGAGGGAGGCATGTGTCCTCCTCTTCCAGGGAGCCTTCCAGACTTTGCCTTCATGCTTCCTGATCCTGAGTTAGACTGTTACTTCCTTAGTATCTCACTTGACTGTAAGTACAGTCTGTGTGCCCATTGCAACAGATTATTGAACCGAGCAGAGAAGCAGAGAGTACTGTGGGAGGGACAGCTGGTGTCAGAATTGATACAAAGGTTGGAGGGTGGGGTGTGTCTGACCTCCACCACTAGGAATCAGCCTTGTGTAGTTCTCCATACTCATTATCCCTCCTGAGGTTAGACAGTTTCTGCTGCTACTACTGCTTTCACCATTTTACAGTCTCCCAGCAAAACTTGGAGGTACTTCCCTGAACGAAAGGAAGCTGGGAGTTTCTATAGGAAACAAAGGGCAGAGAGAGAGAAAGGGGGAAAATGGGGGGGCAAACAAAACACTCTTCACATGTTCTGACATGTCATGTAGAGCAGAATGTGCTGTTAGTTGCTGGTCCATTGGTTCCAACTCCTGGTGACTCCACATGTGCAAAGTTGACCTGTGTTCCATAGGGTTTTCAGAATCAGATCACCAGGCCTTTCTTCCGAGGTGTCTCTGGGTAGATTCAAACTGGCAACCTTTTGGTTGTGCCACCCTGAGCAAAAAAGGTACAGAACCACAAACACTTACACTAATCTAGTCACCAAGTCAGTTTAATGTTGGAATACAAACTTGTGAGTAAGCAGACAAATCAAAACATGGATGCCAGCAGAAATGAAGCCAGACATAACACAGTCCACAACGACAGTGTTCTACTCCCACTTTGGTGAGTAGCCACTGGGGTTG